GTGAAACGGCTTTTGCCACTTTCAGCGGGGTTTGTGGTCTCCCCATCGCTGAGTTCTGAGATCGCATCGTAGAATCCAGACCCACTCTTTTATCAGAAAGGTGTTCTGCAAATATCGTCTCCAGTGTTTAGCTTGTTTTCATTTACTTAACAGTATCTTTTGAAGAGATGTAAACTTTGATGAAAACATATTGAGGATATAACTTTGGTGCAATCCAATTTATGATGGTTTTCTTTCATGTTTTTGCTGTTATAGCTAATAAATCTGCAGATCCCAAGTCACATGTATTTTCTACGCTTTCTTGTGAAGATTTCATAGTATTAGGTTTCGCATTTAGCTCTATGGTTTATTTTTTTATTTATTTATTTTAAGATTTTATTTTTATTTATTTATTTGTCAGAGAGAGAGAGGGAGAGAGAGCGAGCACAGGCAGACAGAGTGGCAGGCAGAGGCAGAGGGAGAAGCAGGCTCCCTGCCGAGCAAGGAGCCCGATGCGGGACTCAATCCCAGGACGCTGGGATCATGACCTGAGCCGAAGGCAGCTGCTTAACCAACTGAGCCACCCAAGCGTCCCTATGGTTTATTTTTTAATAGACATTTTATTTACTTATTTGACAGAGAGAGAGATCACAAGTAGGCAGAGAGGCAGGCAGAGAGAGGAGGAAGCAGGCTCCCCGCTGAGCAGAGAGCCCAATGCGGGGCTCGATCCCAGGACCCTGGGATCATGACCTGAGCCGACTGGGATCATGACCTGAGCCGAAGGCAGAGGCTTAACCCAGTGAGCCACCCTGGCACCCCTATTTTTAATATTGGTATGTGTTGAGAATTATTTTGTGTATATGGAAATTCAATTTTCAAGCACTCTATGTACAAAAGTCTGCCCCTTCTTCACTGAATTGCCCTGTTTTGAAAATCACCTGAGCAGGGATGTGTGGGTCCATCTCCGACCCCTCCACGCTCTTCCCTTCTGTGTGCTTTGCTGCATGGGGACTAGTGTCTTGGCTACTGTGGCTTCATTGTAAGCTCTGATATCAGGGGGCAAGCTTCCTTCAACATTTCTATTTTAAAAATTTTGGCTAATTTGCATACTTAGCCTCTCCATACAAAATTCTGAATAACCATGGGATTTGTGCAACAATTTTGCTGGGATTTTTACTGGGATTACATCAAGTTTGTAGATCAGTTTGGAGACTTGACCCTATCAAGTATTCTAACCCACGAACATGGTATAGCTTAATCTGTAGATCTTACTCAAATTCTTTCAACAGTGTTGTGTAATTTTAAGTGTATGGAATGTGTATAAATTTTGTTAGATTGTATCTAAACATTCCTGGTTTTGGTGCTATTACAAATAGCACCTTTTATTTCAGTTTCTGTCTGTTCATGGGAGCATTTACAAAGCTCCTTCTCACTGTGTGGATAATAGAAAATCCATGAAACCCTTTTGGCAGGTTGTGGTCATTGTGAACTCCAATCCCAGGGTGAGACGGAACTACTGCAGTGGCCCAAATGAGGAGCTGGCACACTTTCTCTGAAAATGTAACTCTAGCTGTAAGGATTTTCAGGCCATACAGTATTTAAGCAACTGCTTGGCCAGTGGAAGGCACGGACATCACATATGGGGTCAAGCACAGGGGGACGGGTGTGTCTGCTTCCTCCTGACCACAACGAGGTTTGCTGTTACACTGCAGCATCTGGGCTATACACGTGGGCTCATCCGGACACTGGAAAGCAAGTGAGCCATAAGGACGCTTTGGTCAGCACACAGGCGGTCCCCTGAGATCGAAGAGAGACTAAGAACCCCAGGAGGGATGAATGCTTTAAAAACTCATCAACACCCTCTTAGAATCCCAGCTCGTCAATTACCATCCCAGGTTCCTGTGGATTTGGCCCCCCCACCCCGCTTCCGTACATTGGTTACTGCCTGTCCTTGGATACCTCGAGAGTCACTTCCCTGCGCACACAGCACCACCAAATATTTGCAGAGCCAGGCAGTCACCGGGCAAGTAAAGACCTCACACTTACCTGTCGAGGAGAAAACAACTGAAAAGGAGTAAGGTGTGTGTGGCGTGTTTGTGTGCGTGTCCTGGACCAGGGCAGTATCCAACTTCTCCCCCACGCAGGACGGGGCTGCATTCCCACAGACAGGACCTGTCGGCCAACTCTTCAGAACGAAGCTGTGGCCTTCGCTGGACAGAAGCCCGCGGCAGCCAAGTGGAGAGGACGAAAGGCCGTCTCCTTGTAAGGCCTTGTCCTGTCGTTACCACGTGAGTGCACATGCATTTGCTCAGTGCCTACTACGGACCAGCCCTCGTAGCAGACTGAGAGCAAAGTAGGACAGAAACAGGGTCCCCGGCCCGGGGCTTCAGTTCTTGACAAACCCTGTGGGCTGGTGGGAAGTATCAGCTCCTGTCGGGGAGCGAGCCCTGGGAGCCCTTGGCCACATCTGGAGATCTGGTTGTCACGCCCAGGATGAGGGCGCTCCTGGCACCCCGGGGGAGGGGGCCAAGGATGCAGCACCCTACAGTGCCCTGGACAGCCAGGCACAGAGAAAGTCTGTCCCGAGGGCCAGCAGTAGTGAGCAGGAAAAACCGCCCATGTCACAGCCCCATCCCGCAGTTGTGCGCTGATAGGACAGGCGATGATCTCCCTGTGAGAATCTGCACTCGACACAGTTTAACTCGAATGAAACCTGTTACACTACAAACGTTCGTTTCTGCGAGGCCCAGCCGCACGGAACCCGGACAGGGTCCCTGACGCACTTGATGAGGAAAGAAGGTCCTCGCTCCTGCAGAACTAGCAGAATCCCCCCTTCCTGCAGGATGAAGCGCTGCTGGAAAGTGTTTCCTTCTCTGTCTGAGCTGCCTCTTGGGCCCTGTGCTGGGGACCTGGGTACCAGAGTCAGGGCCCGCGAGGCCAGGACTATAGGCACAGCGCCGGAGCACGGCTCTGAGCTGCCTGAGTGCTGGGGGGGTCATCCAGCTTTCCCCGTGCACGATGCACCTCGGCCCCCAGCCTGCCAGGGCCCCTTGCTGGGACATCCCTGCATCTCACCCTGCCGGGTCCTGCGGGACTCAGCCTGCACCCACCTCCCAGGGACAGCATGGCTGGGGAACGCCTTCGCTGGCCTCTGCACACGCTGCTCACCGATACTCACCATCCTGTACCACCATCCCACCAGTGGAACCCGCTCCAGCCGTGGCCTGGACAGGAAGGCCACCGGAGGTCACAACCCAGAGCTCAGACCATGTGGGTGAGGCTACCAGACCTGAGACAAGGGACGCAGAACACCTGCGTCACTGGTCCCAGGCCACATGCCTGCAGAGTAGCAGAGCTGCATGGCTCTGCGCACGCACGTACCACACATACGCGTGTTCGTGTCTCCTCACGGACGGCAAACACGCTTAGCTGAAACCTGGAATCCGTCTGCCTATAGAAAGTCCAGTCGGCCTTGACTTATAAGCTGCTTTCCAGGCTGTCCCACGGTCCTCACGACAGGACCGACAGGACCGTGCAGTGCCGTGAGAGCGGCGCCCTGCCGCACGCAGACCAGGCTGAGCTGGCCTCGTGGTATCCTCCGTCCCAAGGGATCTGGCTCTTTCTAACCGGGATGCGTTGTGAGCTGGGGGTGGGGGTCGGGGCAGACCCACTCTGCCTGGTCTTCCGTCCGCCCGCCCACCCGCCCAGCGCACGGTCTGCGCACGACGCACCCCCACCTGGGGCCCTGCCGGACCAAGGGGCGGGACTGGGCTGCGACAGGAGGCGCAGAGTCAGGAGGACGCGAGGCTGGACACAGACCACGCGAGTTTACGTTTTATTGTCGGTCCCCAGGTGGTGCCCCCCTGCCCGGGAGGGGACGCGGCGGTGCTCGCGACGCCGCGGCTACATCTGCCTCTGCTTGTGCTTCGGGTTCGCTCGGCAGTAGATGAACCAGCGGCCGCGCCTCTTCACCCGGTAGCAGTCCCGGCAGCGCTCCTTGATGACGCCCTTGGTCTTGAACCCCAGGGCGGGCTGCAGGCCGGGCGGCCCCAGGCCGGGCAGCAGGCGGCCGGGCAGCCCCGCGGGCCCTGCAGCGCCAGGGCGTCCGGGCAGGAGCGTGGAGAGCGCGCGGGGCACGGCCGGGGGAGGCCGCGGCCGGAGCAGGGGGCCCAGGGCGGACGCCAGCATCTTCGCCGCCAGCGCGGACGCCATGGCGCGGCCGGACCTGAGCGGGAGCAGAACGCGGTCCTGCGGAACCTCGAGCACCACCGGCAGCGGCGCCTCCGCCCCGCCTGCGGCCCCCGCCTCCCGCTGCACCCGCGGCCTCTAACCCCAACCCCGCGCCCCCGCCCCGCCCCGCACCCCCGGCCGCCGGCGGTCCGCGAAGGCCCCGGACATGCCCGCCCGCGGGGGACAACAGGCGGCCCTTTTCGGCCGCAGCGTCCGGGGAGCGGAGGGCGTGTGGCTATGGCCCACGCAGGGACCCCCGAGCCCCCGCAGCAGCCACCGCCCCGGCCCCGGCCCCTCGCGACTCCCGGCGCCCCTCACCTGAGAACACAGGACCGCGACGACTGGCCGCGCGCCTCGCAAGCGCCTGCGCAATGGGGCGCGGACGCCACCGCCCGGAATGAGCGCCAGGAAGAAAGATGGCGGCGGGGGTCACGTGGTCATTCCCTCGGTGCCGGACACAAAGGCGGAGTCTCCGGCGACTCCCCGGACGGCCTCCCGCCCCCGGCGCCGACGGGCTCGGGCCGCGCCCCGGGGAGCGGAAGCAGAGGCCCGGGACGCACGGGAAATCCCGGCCGGTGTAGAGCACGGACGCACCCGGAGCCCACGCAAAATCGGGGAGCACCCACGGCGCGCCCTCGGGGATTCCCGGGGAAGGCGGCGGGCTCCGGGGGCTGCTCCTCGCCGGCGGCCCTCGGACCACCCCCCCCCCCCCCCCCCCGCCCCCCGGGGGGGGGGGGGGCCCCGGGGCGCGCCCCCCGCGCGGGCCCCCCGGCCCCCCCCCCCCCCCCACGGCCCGGCCCAGCGGAAGCGGAGCCCGGCGCGCCCGCCTCCCGCCGCGGGCACGGGGAGCCCCGCGCCCGCCTTCCCGGCCGCTAAGGGCGCCGGGGCTGCAAGCCGCAGGCCGCCCGGGTACGCGAGGGGCGGGGCCGCCAGGGCTGACGGGGCCGCGGGGCCGCATCGAGTTCGCCGGCCGCTCCTTGCAGCCGCGCTGCCCCCGTGGTGCTCGCCGCTCGCTCCAGCGGGTCCCCCGCGGGGGACACCCCCGTGATCATCAGTGACCGGCCAGTGTGAGCCGCGCCCTTGCACCTCCCGTCCTCCCCGTCCCACCCCGGCGGGAACGTCCCGGCGGCCGCCGGCGCTCAAGCCGCGAGCACAGTTTCCCGCCTTTTCCCAACCGGGCCGCGGCCCCTGCCCGGATGCTCCCGCCGGAACGCAGCGCGCGTGCGCGACGCCCCGCAGCGCGCGAAGTCGGGCCGCCAGGGCCCTGCGACACGGTGCGCATGCGTCAGCGTGTCGGTGCGCCGGGTCAAGGGTCAGCCCACAAGATGGCGGCGGCAGTGACCTTCTGCCGGCTGCTGGGCCGCAGCGGCAGGGCGGCGCTGAGCCTGCCCCGGGGCGTCCGGTGCTTTGGGGTGCGCACGTCGCCGACCGGGGAGAAGATTACGCACACCGGCCAGGTAAGCGCTGCGGCGTGGAGGCCGCCCTCCGTCTCGGCTCGCGGTGCCCTCGGAGCCCGCGGCTGGGGGACGCGCTGGCCTGAGCGTCCGGTTCCCGGAGGAGCGGCGGCCGCGCGCGGGGTCCCGCGGGCCCGGGGACTGTGTGGGTCTTACGCTCTGACGCGCGGGGCGCTGAGGGCGCGGGGTTCCTGGGCGAGCCGCTGTCCGGCTCGCGTCTGCGCCGCGCTGCGTAGGGGCCCCCCGGAGCGCAGACACGGCCGGGAGGGACTCAGGGACCCCTGTCACCGCGCTGCCCCGGGGACGCTTTCCTGCGCCGCCGGCCGGCTGGGGAGGAAACGGGGGTCCCTCCGCTGCCCGCGTCTGTCCGCTCCTTCAGCCCCGCCTTGCCGACCCCCGGCGTCGTCGCCTCTTCCCTTCTTCGGTCTCTCGCCGAGCCGCGCCCGCGCAGCCGCCCTCGGTCCCTCCTGTCCTCGATGACAAACAGCCAGAACCTTCCGAACACACGCTTTTCCGTAATGCTAGCTGTTGCCACTCGGCGACGTTCAGAATCAGGCTGTAAAAATCTCGCACGGTCTTTCCCCAGGTCTATGACGATGCGGACTACAGGAGGGTCCGGTTCGTCGGTCGCCAGAAAGAGGTAAGGAGGTGAGGGACAGACAGCTGCGTCTCGGTGAAGCCTTTACGGAACAGCGAGACATGGAAGAGACCCAAGTTCTCAGACGAGACCCCGGGCGGCTCTGGAAGTCTGCGTTTCTGTGAAGTGCCCGCGCGTGTCTGTCTCCTGCTGTTTCCCCCGAAGTACTGGTGCCGCCGCCTCAGCGCAGTCTGGGTGTGTGTGAGCGACGGCGGCCCTTTATTTTCCTTTCATTTCTCTGCCTCATACTCCCCAGACCCCCAGATTAAAGGAAGTCATCATCAAGTTTTAAAAATTACTGTTTCAGTCCCCGTGTTGGGGTTTGCTTGTCATACTTCCTGCCGGACGGAGGAGGCCTTGTTCTTACAGGGACGGACACTCCCCAGCTGAAGCTGGCAGGAGGACCGTCCTGCCCTGAGTGGCAGTGACTGGTCCCGTACAGTGACGGCAGGAGAGAGGATGCAGATCGCGGTGTCTCCAGGAACCTGAGCTCCTCCTAATTCCTCTCTGACCTGGGCTGCCGGATCCGCAGTCCGCGGGCCGTGGTCTGGGCCGTCTTCCCCTTCCGAGTCCTTTTGTCCTCCGCAGTCACCTTGCGCCCCTCCTTCCCTCAGTCAGCCTTGTTAGCTCTTGTTACTTCTCAACGGTCAGTAAATTGTGTTTCCGCCCTCTGATCTTGGTCACACTGTCTGTTCTTAGATTCTCTTTTTCTACTTCCTTTCCTGCCTTTCGGGGGACAGGGTGGTGGAGACAGAGTTCAGTGCCTCGGGCGGAGCAGTGGGTCCTGACGCCTTGGGTAGCTCCTGCGGTCCGGCCCCGGCTCCCCAGCTCAGCAGTCCTGATGCGTTAGCAAGCACCTGGGTCTGTCCCAAGCTCCTGTCTGCTAGAGAGACTCTGTGGCCTCTGGTTTCTGATCGCCTTAGGGGGCAACCGGAGCAGCTGAAAACCAAAACCAACCAAATAAAATCAGAATTCGCAAAGCCAGTGGAGTGTGAACAGAGGAGGCAGAGCCGAAGGTGTCCCCTCACCCAGGTCCGGAGCCCCTGTCCTGTCTGTGGCCTTTTGCTGTTGCACATCACGTGTGTTCGGGGAGCACTGTTCAGTCGTACGGGTGCGCCTGTTTGTAAACGAGGTGTGCCGCTCGGGCTTGCGTGCGTGCCATGGACGTTTGGTACTTGGTGGTATTTTAAGATTGTTAGTGTTTCCCAAAGACGTTGTTTTAGAGGAGTTTTACGTGTACTGGAAACGGGGACACGAAGTGCAGAGGCTTCCCCTGGACCCGCCTCCTGCCAGGCGGCCTGTTTCAAGTAGCGCCTTCTGTCAGGGGCTGCGGTCGCTACAGCTGATGCTTCGAACACCTGACGGTGTCGACACGTGCGCTCAAGCCCGCGGTTCGTGTCGGGGTTCCTGTCCGTGCCGTACAAGCTGTGGGTTGTGACAGACACGTGTTCCGCGCCCGTTTTTACAGTGTCGGAGAGTAGTTTGCGTGCCCTGAGACCGTCTCACGTTCCACCTGTTCATCCTTCCGCCCCCCAGCCTCCGACAACCCCACATCTTGCTGGTTCTCTAGTTTCGGTCAGTTGTATTTTCAGAAACCCACCAAACCTGAGCTAAATCGGATGAACAAGGAGCGCGGAAAGCTGGAGAGCTGAGCTGGCCTTTGCAGAGGGACGCGGAAAGTATCTGTGTGTGGCTCTTGGCTACTCCTGGCCAGAGGCACCTCGTGCGGTTTGCGGCGCATCTGCAAAGGAATCCGTGCGGGCCGGTTCGGGGTCTTCCTAAGACGAGACACTCACATGCTGAAGAACCGGCTGCGCAGCTCCCACTGCTCGAGGTGGGCAGAAGCCAGGCCTGCCATGGTCCTGGGCCACCTCCGCGAGGCAGGGGGCTGGAACCGAGCAGATGCTTGTCTGAAGCTACAGAAAGCGTTTCCATGACTCTGTGGTCACATACATCAGACGAAAGGCGCACGTTTCCTGTCTTCTAGCAGAAGAGCGCGTGTGGACAGGAGACCGCGTGCAGAATGGCGGTGATGGTGACAACAGTGGGAACAGCAGCAGTGCCGTCTCTGTCACCTTGCGGCTCCGAGGACTTGTCTGGTCTCGAGTGTGGCTCCAGGCCGCTCTGACCGCGTCCGGATCTGTGCAGCCCCCCAAGCGCTGCCTGCCCCCGTCGGGGACCTCACTGGGCTGAGGGCGCTGGGTCCGAGGGGACGAGCCGCTAGGGAACCCCCGCCCCGGGAGGCCATCAGCGAGCGCGTGCGCTATTCTGTTGCTGCTGGGTTACGGCGACGGGGCTGGCGTCATTCGTGGGCATTAAAGATGCGCAGTGAGGCAGAGAGCCCAGAGCACTGGGAGGCCGAGTCCGTTGAGCACAGCTCCCCGTGCCTCCACTTGTGCAGCGATGACGGGGTGGCTCTGCCCAGGCGGGATCGCCCTTGCCGGCCATCGGGGCAGCGGGGACCCTCGCTGCCGGGGTGCTCTGGACATTTCCTGCCCGTCTCAGATGGCCTCCCGACCCCCGGCGGGCAGGTGAGTCTGGCTCACCCGCTGGGCACCTTGGTTCCTCACTAGCAGCTGGAAGGTGCCAGCCACCGCTGAGCTGAGGAGCGGTCCCCGTGGCACCGGTGTCCACCCGACCTGCTGTGTTTGGTGGAGTGACCTGAAGCCCGTCCACCTCAGAGGGGTCTGGACGTTGTGGACGCACAGCAGGGGCTGTGAGTGCTGGAGGGAGGAGCTCGCAGGCAGGGGTGCGTGCGGTGTGGCTGCGGGCCCCACCGGGAGTGACGAGTGTCCCTCAAGGGCTTGTAGCCCTTGGCTTGTTGGGCCTTGCGTCTCCTGGGCGCTGCAGAGTGGACCACTCGCCTGGTGAAGTGACTTCTCCGCTGAGGTGAGCCGGGCGCTGAGCCTCGAGGTCTGTGCCTTCCTCTGGCCTTCTGGCGGTTCCACGCGTCTGTGCTTGTCCTCAGCCTCTGCACTGGCCAGATCGCCCCAGGGCACCTGCAGACACTGCTGTACAAAAAGCCTAGGAGGTATTTTTGAGCATTTTCTCCAAATTTGTGTTAAAAATTAATTTGGATGAAAATATCCATTTTTACCGTGATTTAAAAATTACATACGTGTGTGTACCCACGTGTGTTCAAGGGAATGCAGATGTCGGTGGTACAGACCCCGGTCGTCCGATGCCGGCTGGGCTCCTACTGACTCCGGTCGCGCGTCTCCCCGAGCAGGGTTGGCCGCGTCCAGCACGGGGGTCACTCAGCGAGGCGGTTCCTCCTTGTGTCGGCGTAGGACTGTCTCGTGTGGTCCCGCGTCGTACGTTGTGTGTTTCGTGGGTGTGACCTCAGTGTGACGTACGCGAGTAAATGGCCCGTAGGAACCGTCACTCCCCAGAGCGCGGGCGAGACGACGGTAGCAGCCGCCACCCAATGAATTTGAGCCCATGTGTCTCTGTGCCCGGTCAGCTGGCCGCCAGGAGGTAAACGGGCAGGTAATTTCCCACTCGTGACGTTAGTGGCGCGTAAAGGACAACCCTGAGGCCGTGGGCAGTTGAGGGCGTGTGACATCGTCTGCCTGAAACCCGTGGTGCTGGCGGCTGAGGCAGGAGCCCGGGTGCTGTGATGTTCTCTGCGTTCATGCCCTTGGCAGGCCCGCGGTGCTCCTCCAGGGCGGCGAGACCAAGCCCTGAGCTGCCACCTGGGGTCGGCTGCTGGGTGCGTGTCGGCTCCGGGACTCTGCGTGCGCCTGTGGTCGAACCGAATCCCGGGAATGAGACGTTCGTCACGGAAGGTCAGGGTCACCCTGGGGCTGAGTGACAGGGGCAGTCCTGTGTCCGTCTCCGGTGTCAGCTGCCCTTCCCGCGGGAGACGGCGGTCTGCCTGACGGCCATGCTGGGGCCCGGGGGTTTGTCAGTGCGGCCTTCCTGACACGTCCCGTGTTACAGCGTCCCGTGTTACAGCGCAGGCTTCGTGTGTGGCATGCCCGGCTCTGCAGCTGAGGGGAGCGGGACCTCCCGGCCTCCGCGGCCGGCCGTCAGTGCGCGCGTAAGCGGAGCGGCGAGGCCGTGTGTGGGGCCGCTGTGCTCAGAGGAGCCTGTAGCGTGGCCCGGCCTCCCCAGCCGGCCGCGCGGTGTGCGGCCCCTCGGCTCCGATGGAGCCCCATGTCCCCGTAACCTCCTGCGGGGTTTGTAGAAACGAAACTTCACAAAGTCAGTCTGTAGCGATAATGAAGTTTTTGCAGAATGTCCACACTCGGTGGGTTTGGGACATTATCTGAGTCAACGGCAGGCAAGGCCGTCTGTTTCCGGGCAAGAGTGAGGGGCTGGCCCTGTGGGATCGCGTGTCCTCTGGACGGACTCTGCTGGCTTTAGAGGAGCTGTTCACGGAGACCGATTGTGCCTTTCTAACTTATTTCCAGGTTCCGTTAAAGTTCAGAGGTCCCAGCCCCCCTTTATTTGTAAACATTGATCCTCGTTTCCCTGTCTTCGCTACGGTGGGGCCTCTCCCTGTCGGTGGGGCTCTGGGGACGCGGGGCGGGCACCCGGCTGGGCCCCGGCGGCCAGGACTGACCGGCGCGGCGGCTCTGCCATCAGCCACCCACAGTACCGAGGTTGGTACTCACTGTGCGGCGGGCGGACGAGCCGGGCGGCGCTTACTCTGCGTGCAGCCTCCGTTTCCCGAATGTCTGCGCACAGTGTCACTCCCACGGTGGCTGCGGGGACGTCTGCCAGGAAGAGTAGTGGCCCCGACTGTATTCGTCCCGTGTCGTGTGCTGTGCACAGACGAGCCTCCAGCGTCCAGAGGCGGGTGACGTCCCAGATGTGGTCTCGCTGTTGTTTTCCGCCCTGGGTGGGTTGACGATGACGCGGGGTCTAGGGGAGCCATGAGCTGCCGCAGCCTGGGAGCCCGAGCAGGGGACACCAAGCCTGCGGACGGCTGAGAGTGTGGTGGGGGCGAGACGGGTTGCCGCGGACGGCTTTGGGGAGCACACGCCGTTGGAGGGGGCACGTACCTCTGGACGTCCCTCCTGCTTTTGCACGGCTCTCCGGGGTGGGAAGCTGCAGCCGTGGTGTGGGCTGGCCCCCCAGGGTGGGACACGGGAGTCGGCTCCATGACAGGGCTGTGGGGACGTTGGGGACCTTTCCCTACACACACACACGCACGCACACGCACACACGCACACGCACACTCGATGCTTTACCTTCCCGGCCTTGGGAGCTTTGTCTCCTGGGCCATGGCCAGGGAGGCTGTGCACGCCTGGCTCAGGGCGGGTCAGGTCCGAGCCAGGCGGGTCTCCTGGCCTGGGTCCCCTTGGCCACATAGCTCGTTGCGAGACACGTGACTTGCCCAGCCAGGTGTGCGAATCTGTTTAACGGAACAGACGTGGGCGGATAGTGTCATGGTCCCTCGTCCTGCGAGCCCGGATTGACGCAGCCGTTACCAACCAGGAGACTTCCCGAGGCGGCCGCGCTGCTCTCCGTGCTGATGGCCCACGGCCCGCTCCCCACCAGGGCCGCCGTTTCACAAGCAGGTCGCTGACTCTGTCCCGGCGAACCGAGTCCCCGGTGCGTGCGGACCCCACGAGGCGCAGACGCGACTGCAGACTACGGCGATCTCTGAGTTAAACGGCTGGTCGGAGGTAAAGAGCTTTGATGTGTCACAGTAAAAAAAAAATCTCGTGGCTGAGGACACGGATAAGCCCCAGGCAGTGCACTTGCTCACGCGTCTAAGTGTGTTTTAACTTTTAGATGTCGCCCCCCCCCCCCCCCCACAGACGCTCCCTTTACCTGCTTGGAAGTCACCTGTCCGAGGACCCGGGTCTCTCTCTGGCGTTGCCTGCGGCTGGGTCTCCCAGCTGCGGCACGTTGTGGGGTTCGGTGCCTCTGTTCTCGGGGTGTGGAACCGGCGTTGGCTGTGGCGGCTGCATCAGGTCAGACTCGGGGTCTCTTTACGAGGTCACTGTGTGGGGGCCGCCTGGCGTTTCGGGGCGGTGGCCGGTGACTCCGGATGGGGTTGAGGGTGACGCTGTCTTCCCCGCAGCTTCAGCGCTTTTGTGAAGACATGGGGTTAGCCTGGAGGAAGCGGCAGTGTCGATTCCTTCCGTGTCCCAGTTCTTACAGTGACATCCGTCCCTAACGGCGAGGTATTCATTCAGTCTTCCAATCTGCGAAATCACAGATTTCAGCGTATTTGTTGGGTTTCTGTCCCTGCAGTTGCAACCCCGTCGTCTCTCCAGTGTCCCGTGTTGTCCCGCGTTGTTCCATGTGGTGTTTCCCCAAACTGGCTGTCCTTTGGGTGTGGCCGAGGGAGTCTGCCAGAGCTTCCTTGCCCCGTGACCGCGGAGGGGCCCCTGCTGGCGGGGACAGCCGGCCCTGGTGCCTTTCTGCGTGTCACGGGTGGAGCGAGACGCGGGGCCGGGAGCAGAGCTGGTGCTGAAGCCAGGGGCGCAGCGCAAGGGCTCTGGTCCGCACCTTGGGTATGACCAGGGGCAAGTGTTCGTAATCTGGCTCCTGCCCCGTTTCTGCGAGTCTGAAATTGTGTCCGGACGGGAAGCGTCGCGTGTACGTTGAAGACCGCAGCAGTTGCAGATGCGAGTGCACGGGAACGTCCAGAGTATGCCTGCGCCGGCAGGACCTGAGTGTGGGGCCGTCCTCCACGTAGACTTAAATTCCGTGGAATTGTCCCGCTTTTGTACTTGGCTACATGAGATTTTCTTTCCGTCTTGTTCCAGGTGAATGAAAACTTTGCCATTGATCTGATCGCTGAGCAGCCCGTGAGTGAAGTTGGAAATCGTGTGATCGCGTGTGACGGCGGCGGGGGGGCTCTTGGCCACCCGAAAGTGTACATAAACCTGGTACCGTGTCACCTGTCCTTGCGGGTCTAGTCTAAGCTGTCCCGTCCCGCGTGGCCCTTGTGGCGCTGGCTCTCACCTTTCCTCCAACCACGTGGTAGGGACCACGTGATGGGCGCCCTCTCCATGGGGACGCGCTTAGCGTTGCCAGCACAGTCCGCTTTCCTGCCGCACCTGCGGCTTGATCTTCCTGGAACCTCATTTTGGAGGTTGTGCCCCCACAGGGCTTTGGTGAGGGGAGGACCGGGACGTTAGAGCAGAGGGGCGAGCGGGGGCTGAGGCTCAGGTCTGCCACAGCGTGGATGCAAGGGAGGGACGTCGCAGCACCCTGGCACCCCGTCTGCTTGTGGCCTGAGCGTGTCTGGACCGGACCCTGGCCTGGGGGCTGGTGGGCCTCTGCACAGCACCCCACCTGTTCCAGTCCGTTGAATCCTGGGCCCAGGGTGAAACCTCGGCCTTCACGGGCTGGGAGAGAAGACGGGCGCTGAGCTAAGGCCAGAAGACATGTCCTCGGGGCGGTCCTTGCAGATGACCCCGTGTTCCGGGGCCGGAGCTAGGGTTCAGGCCCCTGCCCACGGCTGGCAGCGAGTCGGGGTGGAGCAGAGTCAGACCTGGGCCCCGGTGCCGTGACGGTCCTCTGTCCCCGCGCGACCTCAGAGGGCTTAAGCCGTGTCTAGTTGAGACCCGAGCTCAGGCGCGGTGCACGCAGTCCCGTCTGATGCGGGACGCGTTTAGACGGGAGCAGAGCACGGGACGTGAGGTCTTTCTTCTGAATCTTGCAGGACAAGGAAACGAAGACGGGGACGTGCGGCTACTGCGGACTGCAGTTCCGACAGCACCATCACTAGCGCGGGCCGTGCGCACAGCGCCTCTCGCTGGGCCGAATAAACGGTGTTGGGACCTGGACGGCGAGCCACCTGCGTGTTTCTTTCCGAGAAGCGGCGTTTCCTCCGCAGCGCAGACCGCAGCGGGGTTGTCCTCGGGGCCGTGTCCTGCGTCTCCGCGGCCGTCGTCATGGCGGGGCCGGGCTGGGTGGCTCAGGGCCAGGTGGGAGAAGCACCACTCTGGTTCCGCAGACAGAATGGAGGTTTGTCAGGCGAAGGGCTCCCCGTTTGCCTCCGCACTCCGACCGGAAGACCGTGCTTGCCCTCCCCATCCCCACTGTCCCCGCCACTCACCTACAGTCACACTTCCCTCTGTCCTCTTGTCGCGGGGGAAGTGTGAGATCTTAAAGCCCGAAGCATCTGTGTTCACAGTCGCACGCAGGCCGCATCCAGGGCAGTCTGTGGAGTGGGGAGCAGCAGGGTCACCGGAGAGCAATGCTGGGACTCGGGAGGGAAGGGGACGGCTGGGGAGCGTGCCCGCAAGCCCAGACACGCGGTCCGTGGGGTCCAGGAGGAGGCAGCGCTGGGCAGTGGGAGGTGAGGAAGGAGGGAAGGAGGCAGAAGGGAAGCCTGCACAGCGCGGGGCACGCCCGCCTCCCAGCAGGGCTGGCGAGAACACGAGGCTACGTGTGTCCTGACTGAAATGTGTGAGCTCCGCGCGGTGGGGTCTGGAGAAGAGAAAAGTATCTGAGCTTCCAGACGAAAGGACGGATCGCCTAACGGAGGCGTTACCAGAAGGGCGGGAAGCCTGTCCGTCCTGGGAGCTGGAGATCGTCAGGGGCGTCACGAGCCTGGGACAGGCACCCGTCTTGAGGGGGACGCTCCGTGGACCCCTGTAGGGCCAGCCCAGCCTCAGGGGCAGGGGAGGAGTGGGTGGGGCCTGCCGGTGGTGCGCACCAGTCCACAGCTGGGCACGCCTGGGCATGCGCAGTGGGTCGTCGTGAGGCTTTTCTGGCAGAAGTGCCCAAGAGCAAGCGTGGGGGAGGGGCGTGGGGGGGAGGGCCCAAGAGACCGCGGGGTCACGACAGGTGAGGGGGGAGCTGGAAGGGGCCGGCGGTCTCGTCAGGGTGGAGCGGAACAGGATGAACACAGGAGGGACGTCACGCGGCCTTGGTGTCCGGTGGCCTCGGGGCCCCGTCTGAGCTGCACCCGGGTGGCGTGGTGCCCTCCAAGGGAGCAGGCCTGACCGGCACGTGCTGGGCCTGTGGGTGTTGGAGGGCGGCGGCAGCCCGGACGCCCGCTGGAGGCCCCCCCCGGCTGAGCTGCTGGGCGCAGGGGGGTCTTCTGTCCAGCTGGCCGCGAGTTTAGCCTCGCGTGGACGTGGGGCTCTAGCAGACGCTTTCTCCATCTGTTGGAATGCGATGCTTTTTCCATTAAATGTGGGCCATGGTGAATGATTCAGATTTTCTAGAGGGAAACCGCTCCTTTGCCAGGAGAGGCCCCACGCGCTCCTGGAATCCTTTTCCTGTGGGGCCTCGCGTGGTTTGGGGCTGCCGCCTCTACATGTAGGCGTGGACGAGGGTTTGTAAGCATTTCCTTTCCTCTGACCCCAGTCTCGGTGTCAGGGTCGCACTCCCCTGGAGCTGGGGAGCCCCCGGGTTCTCTGCTCTCCGGAAGAGAAGGGACAGGGTTGCAGTGACCTAGTGACGGGGGCTCAGGAGGGTCTCGCGGGCCTGGTGCTGTGGTGGGAAGGTTTGATTTCTTGGGAGCGTCTGGCACATTCACGTTTCTCCTGGAGCCAGTTTTGGTGCCGTGGATTCTTCTCGGTGTCCGGCTGTTTGCCTCGGTTCTCGGTCCTGGCGTAGAGCTGCTGAGAGTGACTTACTGATCTGCCGTGGCCTCCCCCGCCCCCCCCAGGGGTTATGTGGGCCTGTTCCAGTCTTTTCCGGGCTGCGTCTCTCCAGAGGTTTCTCGACCACTTAGCACTCTTTGGTGTGTCGTCCACTTGGCTGTGTCGCTGGCTTTGGTGTGGCTTCTGACTGTTATCTTCGATCCCTGCCCCTGCTTCCCCTGCCGCCCCCACTCCTGGAGTTGGAGGCTTTCCTGTGTTGCTTCTCAGCAGTCCTGTTCTCAGGAGCACTGAGTGCCACGAGGGTCACTGGCCTCTGCTTTAGCCAGACCCCTTGTCTCCAGCCACACACACACACCCTGACTTCATTACCGTCCGGTTTTAAATGTGAGCGCGTACGCACATGGCCAGGCGGGTGGGAGTGTCCTGCCCTAGTCCTGGGTACCCTGCTCTGAGAACGTGCCATGTGCGAGTCCGGCCTTTGAAATCCGTTGCTGGGGACCTGCTCGACGGGCCGCCGCACGGCTGCCGCACGGACGCCCTGGCTCACTTGCAGGGCCGATGCCCCAGGCGGGTGCAGCGTGGCCGCGGGCAGCCGGGGGCCCCCAGATGTGGGCTGGGCTGTTCCTCCGCCGCGTTCTCTCTCTCCTTTCTTGTTTCCCGTTTTAAAGACGAGCGTCTGGGGCTCTGCTGTCGGGCTCCTCAGACTGGAAATGCTCTCTTCTGAGCAGAAGCTCTTCTGATTAGGAAGCGATTCTGTTTGTCTCTAGTAAGACATTTTGTTTTCAGTCGGTTTTGCTTTTCTTAATTTGGCCACAGCAACTTCTTCTGCTTGAGGCCGGCATGTGCACGCTACGTGTTCTCAGCCCTCTTACCTTCAACGTGAATGTATCCTTGTGTTTTTAGCGCGTCTCCTGAAAACACGGCGGCTGATTTTTGTTAGGCCGTTTACAAGTCTTTGTGTCCTAACCGGAGACGTCAGCCCGTTCTTATGTGAGGGGTGATAGTTGGGTGTGAACTGTCGTCTTACTCTGCTCCTCGTCCCGACTTGTGACTGGTTTTTTCTTATTCTTCCCTTGAAAGAATTAATTTTTTCATTCTCTTTTCTCCGTGATACATTGCAAGTTGAGTTTTCTTTAAAATAGTGAAGGCTGGGGAAGTTATTGGCAGCTCATATGGTGAAGAAACCCAAATATAGGTCGATAGAAAAATGATTCCATCACGCAGGGGACACGGGAAGAGGCACGGGCGGACGCTGAGAATGAAGCGCGCGTGCAGATCGTCGTGCCGGCTGGTGTCCGGGCCCAGCGGCAGGACCACGTGTGCCCAAGGGGAGTGGAGTTCTGCACTGAGATGTGCCCATGGGGCCTTGTTGGGAAATTACCCCAAGGACTCCACTGGCAGACGTGGAAAAGATGTTGTGTGCATGTCCACTCACGGCTGTTCGGCGAATTATCCTGAACTAGGGCCTAGGAGTTTCCATGTGCTGAAGCCGTTAGAAGGGACTGTGCAGATGTGGTCGAGCTGACCGCCGCCTGCTGACCGTGGCCGAGCTGACCGCCGCGTGCAGACCGTGGCCGAGCTGACCGCCGCCTGCTGACCGTGGCCGAGCTGACCGCCGCGTGCAGACCGTGGCTTTGCTGACCGCCATAGGCGCAGGGGCGTGGCCTGGTCAGGAGCCTCTGGCTGGATTCTGCAGGACGCCCGTGTGTCGCAGTCCGTACCTCACTGAAACCCTGGCCGTTTGGAAATGTGGTTTAGATGACCCCCACCATCCTCTCTGTCCTCAGATTTTATAAGTCATGTAATAAACTACACCCTTCTGTTTGCATGCACTTTCTTGATGAGAGCGTCCTGTGAGCCTAGTGGTTTGGGAATCTCGTAGCCAAAGAGGTCACTGTTCCTGTCAGGCTGCAGAAGCTGGACTGCGGGGTTCACACAGGGTGCCCCGAAGTCACACTAGCCTTCAGGTCGCCTTTTAGACCCTGTAGCCCCCGACACCTTTGATTCTGCTGCCGGCGAGCCCCAAAGATGAAGCCTGGAGTGGAGGTGGGGTGGGTGACGTCATCACAGGGGATGTGGACGGGGG